GTGACATTTTTTCAATAGAGATTTAAGTAGAAATGCTGATATGGTATTATTAGTTTATTTTTTAAAAATATATATGAAATGTTTTTTTTCTTATAATTTATTTAAAATTTTAAATTTCATTCCCGTATATATGTAAAAAAGAAATGCATCAATCGTCAAATAATAATTATTCTAATACATATTTAAAACATGTCAAAAGTAATTAAAGATTCATTTAATCAAAGGGTATTTTTCTCTTCAGATATGAGATTTCTTTTCCTTAATTTCCTTTTCGAACAAAAGAATGCAACAATAATAGGACTGTTTTTATTATTATGATATGACTTGGTGGACCGGTGCGGAACTCACAATAAAATGTCACTAAATTAATAATTTATAAGTTAATAATTTCGAGTAATTAATATTTTCTCCCTTCCCAACTTAAGACCAACAAAAAGTGAGCAAAATCAATAGTATAATAAAATAATAATATTTTAATAAACCTTCTATATGTCTATTGGTCTAGACAATATGATAAATTAATACTTACCGTAATTCAAAAAATTATAATAGTAGCTTTAAACATTTAGTAAAATATAAATTATTGGTACTTATTTTCTAAACTATATAAGGATTTTTATATTGAGAGGAATTTCAATAATTACTTGATTCAAATGGTAAAGATAATTAAAAAAATAGATAATTTAGTTAAGATTATTTTTATTGATTATTTAATAATTTTTAAAATTAAAATTTTTTTTTGTTAGTCCCAACATTGTTACTTTAATGAAAAAGTAGTACTTGATGTGGATCTTTTTAGGCTTGGGCAGCATGTATACGTTGAAACTTAGAAAGCCGGACAATGACGTCCTGGATAATATCTTTGGAGGAAGCTGGGCAGCAAGTTTTTGGGTCAGTTCTCATCTGACGCTAGGATTAGCTTTACCGTGTTTTGATCAAAGGGCTTTAGCCGTTTCTACCAAATTCCCCCGGAGAACAAATTTTAGATATCTTCAGTTCAACTTTGACGTAAGATAAAGTCACATTTTTAGGCCACAGAAAATGATGGGTAACCAAATGAGAGTTCCGAACTGAAGAGGTAATATATATCCGTCACAAAAAGGCTCGCAGACGATTGTCCTAACGAAAAAATTTTCGAAAATTATTGTTTTTTTCTTTTTTACTACGAAAGAGGCAAATGCGTGAAAAGCATATATTATTACAGCAAGTTGGTAAGACACACCAATAAAATTATGTTGGAGCTAAAATGTAACTGTATCTGAGAGATTATTTAACCATTGTAATCCTCCAAAACTAACCATTGCTAACGCCGCTAAAGAGTCTGCGGCGAAGTTCAATTTCCTGTAAATATGCGTCAATTCTACCACCTAATTCCTCTTCAAAAGCTCCCGAATGGCAAGAACCAACCTTCGATTCACGCCATACACATCCAACTCCCCCGTAGCCATCCTGACAACACCCAAATTGTTGAATCTTATAACCTTTGTATATTTACATTAATAGTAGGCTAGCTATAATTATGGGAATTCTATGTGCCTAATTTCATAATCACTCATCTATCTAAAACTATTCTATTACTTGATGTACTACAAGGTATAGTAGGACATGATAATAATTTTCTTTTACGATTATAAGAGCTTGGATATTCCCTTCGGTAAGGTGACTACACATTGACATAGTTGTTAATTAATTTCTCTGTCTTAAAATTATTATCCAGTTTGAAATTTTATTTTTAATACAATTTGAACTAAAAATGAAAATTCAAACTGGACAATAATTATGGAATGGAGAAAGTATCATTTTCACTATGAAATATATTTCATGTTTGGTCGTGAATTAGTGCACGATGATTATTTTTAGTTTAGTAAAGAGACTAAGAAAATTAACTTAACAACAGATATATTGTTAATGTGTATCCATCGATTAAATTGATGATGTCTTTTGGCTTCATTGCTACGCTATTTCTTCGAGTAACGCGTCTGAAAAAGAACACTTTTGATGGTAAATATACAAGGGAAATTCTTTAAACAAACAACAATACGTTAAACAAATCAAAGAAACGAGACTTCTGAAATAACCAAAAGTTCTAAATGAAATTTATAGTATGATAATGAATTTGAACATGAGTTAATTACAACAGATTATGGATAAAATTTGACCAATCAATCAGATCAAAAATTTATTAAAAAAAAAAATAGTTGTACAAATGTGATATACCGATACTGAATTAGCTAAAATTAATATTACAGGAACCATGTCTCGTTTACAAATAATCATCCTACAAGAACTGCTTCTTAAGAGTGAATAGCAGCAGCGCTGGGGTGGACTTTCTTGAACAACCCGGAGAACAAACCCGACGACCCGGAAGAAGAAGAGGAGGAAGAAGCAGACTTAGTCTTGGTATCACCAGAAGATTGAAGTTTCTCCATTTTCTTCATCTTGTCTTTGTGGATTTTCCTCATAACATAGACTTCAGCAAGGCCAGCTGTAGCACCCGACATAGCTTCGATTATCCGATATCCTTAATTCAACCGAAAAGAACCTTTGAAGAATTAATGGATTAATGAGATTTGGGTGTTGTAGAATTGTAATTTGTAACAAATGGAAAGGAATTATTTGAAGAAAGAATTGGCGATGTTTTAGAATGAAATAAATGGAGAGGATAGAATGGGGGGTATTTATAGATTTTTGTTGGTGGGAAAAAACGGAATCCAAGTTTATATGGGTGGGATCCAACTACCCCGGGGGGTGGAGAAAGTGATGGGAAAATACTTTTGTTTAATATTTGACTTTTGAAGTAGAAATTGGTTAGAATTTTCGGGGTGTTTTAGAAAGCCAAATTTGTTGTGCTTTGGGGCAAAAGCAAAGAAACTTCTAGTTCTTGTCATGACTTGTGCCTTGCGGGAAATTCCAATCACTTTATTCGGTTCACAATGACTCGTTCTTAAAGGAGACTATTTCTTCAAGTTACGGTTATATACTACAACGAAATTTACATGCAGACAGCTATTTTAAGAACGAAAACGTACTTCGTTCCAAAATGATTATTTAGGTTAGTAATAATCTTTAGTACTTCCTCCGTTCCATAATTATTGTCCACTTTGCCCAAAAAATTTTGTCTCAAAATTATTGTCCAATTTAACTTTTTATGGATCAAGTTACACATTTGTCCTTAATAAAAAACATTATCCATTAAAATCTTTGTGGTTAAACAATTATTTATGTAGGGGTATATCCGGTAGTTTAAGGTAAAATATAGTTAAGTTTGACTAAAAATAAAATCTTTCAGTTTTAGTAAAACTGGACAATAATTATGGGACGGAGGGAGTACATTTTATGCAGAAAATAAAAATTTAGAGCAGAGTATTATTTTACAGGAGGGAGGTAAATGTAGTTAGCTATGATTTTATTTGGGATCATCCTACCATTTTTCATCATTAACAGTATGTCATTACATGTAAGACTGCAACAACTAATAAGTCTGATACCTCGAGGTCCAGGTGATTTACAATGGTTCGAAGTTTGCATCACCATCGGACGTTAAACTATAATTGCAATAGAATTTAATAAGAGTTTCATATTCCAGAAATGTGTTAATCTATGCATTAGCTTCCTTTCTCTGTAACAGAAAAAGAGATTATAACCCTACACTCAACACTTTCTTTTTGTGATATGATTTTTTGTTACGAAATAATATTTTTATTCATTAATATATTAGTATTAATTTTGTTATAAGAAACATGACTTATTTTTTAAAGACGAGGAAATTGGAAGGGAATTATATTGAAAAATGTGAAACGTATACATGATAAACCATACATGCTGCCTTTAGAAATTTAATAAAATGCCCCTTTCCAACAGCCTATGGCAAACAAGATAGTTTACCCTTTATGATCTCGAACCCTCTAATATGGCCCAACTCTCAAATGTTCCATCAACAAAGTAAATTACAAAAGCTAGACCTGATAAATGCCATCAGTGCTAAACATCATCACATTAATATTATGATCAAATAAAACCAGGATGGTAAAAATCTTTTCAATCGCTTTACTTTTACGCAAATCACTCAATATCAAATGTTAACATATAATTAAGATTGATATACTAATGTTGTGGGCAAACAACACTACATACAAGTAGCTAGCGTTACAGTAATGATACACAAACAGAACTATAAATTTATAAGTACAAATGAAGCGAAGCTCGCTATTTGTTCTTAGAAATTGAAGAATTCGCCACCAAATCCAAAGAGTACATATATAGAAACAGCTTTTATTTTTTCTTTTTTTTTTTTTTGGGGGTGGGGTGGTTAAATGTAAAACGCAATATTCATTCCTTATTTTGAGCTTTTCTTGAACATCCCGAAGAAGAAAAAGCCACCAAAAGACTTCTTATCTTTGTGGGCAGTACTGCTGTTAGTTTTATCATGATGACAAGTTTGATTATTATTACTACTAGCAGCCTCTTTTTCGACAGCTTGAATCCTCTCCATTTTCTTCATCTTCTCTTTATACACATTTGTGGTCGTATAAGCCTCGGCAATGGTTGAACTTGGTGTGGCCATGGCGTCTCAATGATTAGATATTTCAAAGAGAAATCGGAAACTAGCTAGAAAGAGTTGCTTGAAATTAATGGTGTATATATCGACCATCTTTCCCTTTCAATTATTATATTGTTTTTTTTTTTTTTTGGGGGTGCGGGGAAGGAAATAGACTTGGGCAGCACGCTGTGCATTATAGATCAAAGAAGTCACTTTCTTCTTGTAGTCGGTTGTTAGTTCTTCTTGACTTTTTGAGTATTGCTTCAATTTGATTTTCAACGTTCCTGTGTAGTATTTTGTAAATTGGAAATGAGAGAGCTTTGCTGGATTCTATCTCGCTGTTAATCCTGGTTATGATTAGTCCAGGCCTGAAAATGTTACTAACGGAATAGGTCAAGAAACCTACTTCTTCCATCTCAAATAAATAGTTCACTTTGTTGTAGCGTTTTAGTTTAACAAAGCGGACTAAAAATGCCAAGAGGTAGTAGATCAGAAGAGAACAATGTGTTAGACTTCATTGGTGCTGATTCAAAGCAACCTAAAATTGAAAGGACAAACCTCTGAAGAACGAATAGCTAGAACATATGTTCCTCAAAGGGTTGAAGCCGGTGGTACATATGTGGGAAAATTTTCTTCCCAGTATACTAACTAAACTAAGTTCTACATTTGATGCTCAGCAATAATGATAACCGTGGTAACTGTACAAACAACAGCCTGTCCCTGTTGCTCTACAAGTTGCAGTGACATCAGTAATTTCGCAGATTTACCTGATCTCAAAATGAACAACATTCCAACTAGTCAGCTTCCCTGCTCGACCATCGGCTGGCAATAATCTCTTCTTTCACTTTCACATTTTTGACATGCTACTGAAAACTCAGTACAATAGCATATTCAGATATTCAACCATCCCTTCGTCAATTTGCCATTTCCAACCATCTCATGTGGGTGCCCAGCAGGGTAGAAGTACTCCAGAGCCATTTCAGGAGACATGATTCCAACCTCAAACCAAAGATCTTGATGAACTAAAGGTGTCAAAATCAGGTTTCAATACAGACTCAACATCCCACTCAAAATCTCCACAAGAGGTAAGCACGGTTGAGAAAACATGATCTCCCAATTCGAAGCCTTCAGCCTGCATTCTGTACATGAGGTTAAAGGCCTCGCGACATTGCCCGTTCTTGGCATATGCAATAATCATTGCCTTCAAGGAAACCAGATTCTGCTCAGGCATGCTATGAAAGACACGGACAGCCTCAGAGAGATGGCCACACTTTGCATACATATGGATCAAAGCACTTCCAACGAAAACATTAGATAAAGCAGGAGTCTTATTAATGGAAGAGTGAATCAATTTTCCGTGTTCAATATCTTCTAGTTGAGCACATGCCTTCAGCGCTGACGAATAAGTAAAAGGGTTGGGATCCACACCATCTCCCAACATTTCTTTCAAGTACTCAAGAGCCTCGTACTCATGGCCAAGACGGGCACAGCCAGAAATCATGGATGTCCACGAAACCACATCTCTCAGTGGCATGTCCTGGAGGACCTTGGACGCACTGGAATAATCTCCACATCTACAATACAGCCACACTAGGGCACTCCCTATGTAGATATTGCTTTGCACATGATTCTTTAATATTCGAGCATGGACCTCCTTTCCCGTGGGCAAAACCCCAACTAAGCCACATGCTCGGAGAATGCTTACCATGGTCAAGTTATTTGCTAGGATCCTCCGTCTTTGCATCAACCTAAAATATTTTATAGCTAGTTTACCAAATCCATTACGAGCATATCCAGCAATGAGGGATGTCCAAGTCACCGTGTTTCTCTTCCTCATCCCCTCAAATACCACTACAGAATCCTCCATTTTTCCACACTTTGCATACATATCCACAAGAGAAGTGCCAACAAATATATCCATTCTGTACATAGTCTTAACAATGGCTCCATGCAGTTGCTTTCCTAACTTCAACTCTTTTTCCTCCCCACAAGCATCCAGAACACTGCACACTGTAAATTCATTTGGTTCAAATCCCTCAGCTAACATTCTTGAGAACAGGACAAAAGCCTCCTCCCCCCTCCCATGTTGTGAACAAGCAGATATCATTGTTGTCCAACAGACCACATCCCTCTTTTTCATCATGTTAAATACACGAAATGCATTTCCAATATCACCACACTGAACATAGAAATATACTAACGCACTTTCCAATATCAACCCACTAAAACCACCCTTCAGTATGCAAGCATGTACTTGCTTTCCAAGTTCAATGTCCAATACTTTACCACACAAATTCAGCACACACACAAAGGTTTTCGCATTCCAACCTATTCCAGTCTGAGCAAAATCAATAAAAAGCTTCAAAGCGTCATTTTCTAATCCAAATTTTAGATACCCATTAAGCATGGCAGTCCAAGATACAACATTTCTCTGCAGCATTTTATCAAATACATACCTAGCTTCAACCAACATCCCATATTTTGCATACTTACTGATCAAATTATTGCTCACAAAAATATCTGAACCTCTGAACAACCTCAAAATTATAGCGTGAATCTTCTTTACTTCTTTCGCACTACCAGAAGATTGCAGCCACAGGCCGACTATGGTGGAGTTATTAACTAACGCTGAAACATCAACTTCCAGGTCATTTGACAGAGTAGGAGGAGTGTAAGAAGCGTAATTATCGGTTAGGTGAGATGACTTTCCACAAACAACAAAAGGGATGTTCTTGGAGTTGGTGTTCTTCGTTTTGGTGTGGGTTTGCTCTGTTTTTGGAAATGGCTTCTTGTATGTAGGTGCTGCTGTCAGCTGAGAACTCAAGAAAGAAGAAGACTGAGTGCCAAATTGAAAAGGCTGCGGTAGGGAATATGCTGGTGAGAACATTGCCCTGAGAACTATCTGCTATGAAAATGGTGGTTCCCCTTCGATTAAACTGTACTGGGTTCGTTCCAAACTGTTCAATAAGCGGGAGCAAAAATATCTTCTTGAAGCTTCAACTGGTGTTTTAGAGTCAAAAGTTAAGAATTAAGACGAATAATCTCATTCATGTGGTCCTGGTTTTGAGCTGTAATGTTTTCATAATCCATCCTTCCTTCCCAAAATGTTTGTTCTAAATGATTGTCTTATTGGATGCCCACAGACCGTAAATGCAATATTGGAATGTTTTTCAGTAGTATTTCGGAGAACTTTTAAGTAGTTTTTACTTCACTTCCTGACTTAGATCCTGATTTTTGTTTCACTTTCAATTCTTTACTAACGGGGCTACATTCACGTTCTCTTTCTCACATTCTTGTTAGGCCACAAACTTGAACAGCAGCATACATTGCCAAGGAATTGTTTCAAACTAATCCAAATCTATGCAAAACTGGATACAAACAGCAAGAGTGACAACAATTCGTACACAGAGAAGCCTTCGCGGCGATGACTAATTTTCAATTCCACTAGTATGCAACTCAAATCGTACAGAATGAGGAGACACCAAAAAAACAGAATGAAGAAACCTATCTAAAATGTAGGCGTGTATAGAATGGTATTCTTCAACTAATCCATGCAAAGAAATCAATTACACTAGTACAGCTGAACGCAGAGAAGACACCCTTCATCTTTGTGCAGCACACATCTGTTTAGTTTTCCGTTTTGTTCTTTCTCCCAATCCAAACAACCAAAAATTTGAACCTTCTGGCCTAGAAAACTCTGCACTCGTGGATCTTCCAGGACACAACTAATCATGATGTTTTCTCAAGAATGATGCACCAGTTTGATTTGTCGTAGAATTTATCAACCACAACAGCATTGTCCACATCAGAAACTAACCTGCAGCAATCAAGACCAAACAACACAAGCAGATGTCAACAAAGGAATTGAATTCTTTAACCAACAACACCATAGAAATAGTCAAATGATGATTGTTTTCTTTTGTGGTGTACTCCATTGAATCACATTCATAATTGTTGGTTACAATTCTCAAATCAGATTTACCTATCATGATAGTAGATCAAGCAAGCATGTAATGATACAGGGAAAAAAAAAAAAAAAAAAAAAAGAAAGCAGCACAAATTTTACATAAGCCAAAGCTTGGAGAAGCACCAAATTGTGCCAGGCCTATTCCTCTTTTTCGAATCTTGTCAAGGAACAGGATGCAGCATGTCAAGATATAGAGGTGTTTCAATGTGAACTATTTCACACAGCTGGTTACGCTCCCAATTAAGCTCAGAAAACAAATGAAAGTACTAATGAAGCAATAAAAGGAGCAGGACAGCTTACTTTTCAAGTTCACCTTCACTGAAAACATGGTAGTATCTGTTGTAAACCACTGCACCCTTCTTATCATCCTTCTTTGCCAGACCAGAAGCAACAGCATTGGCAGAGGCTCCACTCACTTCAGCACGATGATAAGGCAAATGCCAAGGAACAAAAAATTCTTGCTGCTCTTCGCAAACTTCTCCACTTGTAGAAGTCAATGACTGATCTGAAACTTTACTCAAATTGCTGTGTCTAGGTGATTTTACATCCATGGTCTTGTCAAGAAATTCTTTAAAGTGATCCCTCGAACCATTTTCCTCAGCTTCTGGTATACTCTCTAGAGTCGAGGATGAAGGACTTCGGACCCTAGGGCTGCCTGGACCTACCCACTCCTCCACATATTTCTGAGTAAGTGGTGTCCACTTGTTTAACAATGATCCATCTTCTTGTTCCCTCGCCCAAACGGTTATCAAGACAAGACCACCCTTTTTAACAATACGGACTAATTCTTCTACTGCTTTCCGTCTCCTACTTTCTGTGCTAAGGTGATGCAACACAGCAATGGAGATCGCCGCATCACCATAACCAGTCCTATATGGGAGATTGACAGCATCAGCAACCAACACTTCATGCCCTCTATCTGCACAAATCTTGACAAGGGCCGAACTAATATCACATCCAATAAAAAAACTCTCGGGATTTAGCCCCAAATACTTCCCGTTCCCACATCCTGCATCTAATACAAGTGATCCCACAGGCAACGAATTGAGAAAAGCTGAAACCTTGGGCCACTTGGCGAACCGGGTAGAACTAAAATGTGGAGCGATGGCATCATAAACACGATGAACATACTTCTTTTCGATTTCCGGAGTCGATTGCACAGCTGAAGCATTGCTTCTCATACCATAACCAACCTTCACAGGCGGCAAAACAGGAGAGTCCCCATCAACAACAGGACCGGGCGAATTAGATACTATATCACCTAAAACTTCCTTCATATCACTGAAACTCCTTAGCCTACAACAGAAAGTCTTTCTAATTAAGTCTCCTCTAGAAGAAAATCTACTAGACCTTCCAATGGCTAATACCATAAACTTTCAAGTTTCAACAATTCAACAACAAGCATCTGCATACATAAAACATCAACGCGAATTAAATACAACAACACGGAAATAAGAGTCCACAGATTCAGCTGGACTTAAGTACAAACACCTTCATGTAAACATTATTACAAACAATAATAGCAAACCATAAAACTAAAAAGGAAAAAAAGAGATAAAAGAATCTACAAATAGATATGCAACTATTATCAATCACTGTAAAGAAGAAGGAAAAAAAAAAACACTTACAAGATTAAAGGGAGGCTTGCCAGTGGCCGGAACGCAACCGACGGCGGAGGAGGGTGGGAGGAGCGGTGAATTTGAGAGTTTAGTTAGTGAAAGATAACGGGAAAAGCAAGTCAAAGGCTTATGAGAGTATTGGGGATTTGGTCTTAACGGCAGACCATGAGAGAAAATTTGGCCGTTCCGGCGTCGTCAAGCATGTTGTATTCTTCTATCTAGTCTTAGGTCTTTTTTTTTTTAATCTTTTTCCCAAAAAAGAGATAACCAAAATTAGGCATATACTGGATATGTTAATGTTGATGATTAAAACTATGTACTGTAAAATTAGGCATATACAATATATTCAATTTATTGAGATATTTTATAGAACGTTTACAAGGATTTCATATCACTTTTTGTGTTACACATCTCAAAACATTGTCGACAATGAGATTGACACAAATATTATCCGTCTCAAAACGATTGTAACAAAAAATGAGAATACAAATTCGACAATCATTTCGAATAATAATAAAAAAAAAAAAAACTATTACTTCATGCTATGTTTTAAGTAAAGATAGGAGAAAAGTTATTTTACATTTTCATGATCGATTTGAAGAACCAGAATTTGAATCCTATGTTTACAGCAGTTCTAAGATCCTAGAATCATTCCAGCAAAAACCAGTCATAGGAGTCCCATTCAAAATATATGGAAACTTAAATGTCAGAAAGTTTACAAAGATGACACCAAAATATAGCCAGGGGTTCCTTCAGAATGCAACTTTCTGCGTGAAGATTAATTGCAGGAAAGAGAGACAGCTAATGGTTTAATCTCCAATCATACGACAGGTACACAACTTTCAACTGCGTACTCGAAAGCAACTCCATTATCGCTTGAGACTGCTCCGGATCCAAGTAGTTCGAGGCGTGCTTGATCACCTCTACCTCATTCTTGCCAAAATCAGAACTATACCTGCATGTTGTATGCAGAAAAGCAAATATCATTCCAAGATGCTTGCGTGGGTTGAAGTTATGATCCTAAAACCTCTTCACCAGTATACATCAAAAGAGATCACCAGATTCATAATAGATGGTACTCACCCGGCTGCATATGCACCAACAAATACACCAACAAATAAATAGGAAGGAGAAAGGAAAGGAAAACTCACCATTTCAATATCTTACTCGCATATGCAACCTTCGCTTCAAAATCAACAAGAAGTCCTTGACTTTTTATGAAATTATGGGCAGCCTCCATCAACTCTTTGTCAATATCCCCAGGAGAATAGCAGCGAAGACTAGGCCCAGATCGAGTACCATTAACCAATGCAAAATGAACAAGAGGCTCTGGATAAGGTAAAATCATCTGGAACAAGGAGTGTATTTATGAGTCAAATGGCAAGCCAATAAAAGATAATCCATTTAACATCAACACGTAAATGCAAATAGAATTGGTCAAAATTAACTATGCCAAGACTTGTATGCTTCCTTATGATTGCACAGTGAAAAGCGTCGTTTATCATGTTCATCTACTCAAACTTTCCCCAAGAATATACGCAACAGACTTGCCTTAGATTACATAAAGAACATGGACACTGCAGTTTTTTGAGACAGAATGAGATCACTAGAACACCTTTGCCAAATGCTAATGTCATAATTGCAACAACATACATTAACAATTCTTAAAACCATAAGTGTCAATGTGTCATACCCACGTGTACTGAACATCAAGCTTTCAACTAAATAAACACCCTTTCAGAGGCTGTGCAAATCTAATTGCTTTCTGAATGCCCTATACAACAGGATTTCACATATAGGAAACAAAGTTAACAAATTGAACTTGAAGATAACTCAATCAACTTGCCTTGATCCGTTTATCACCGGTGCTGAATGGCTTGATGAGATTATATGGTGGCCTCTGATTGGCCCTTAAAATGCCATTGTATACAGCAGAAAGTGAAAATGTGCAGCCACCAATTACATACTTAAATTCCCCAAATAATTTTCTTCTCTCCAGTGCTCCAGAAGGATGACCCCACACCAGTATTGCATGAATAGCCATCATGTTGTAGAGGTTGATAAAGAATGAAAGCTTCTCCTCCCTAGGCATGTCCTGTAATTCCACTCTTTGAAGTTCCTCAAGTATCCTCAAAAACCTAGCATTAGTTTTTTTTTTTTGTTATCAGAGTAGAGTTCGCGTATGAAATAGGTGAACATTTAAGATACATAACCAAAGGCCAACAAACCTTGCAAACTCCTCGCTCCCATGGATGCTCCTATAATCAACATGCTTACCATCTTCTGATGTGTAAGCTTCTAAAATTGCATAAAACAGAAATCTCAACCTTGATGAAATTTCAATTATTGGCTTTGGCTTAACATCAACTATGCCCCTTGGAATATTCTGGCATTGGGATATCAAGGGATCATCATCGAGGAACCGATACAAGTGACTCCCATCTTCAAACATGTTTTCTCTGGAGAGAGAACATAATCAGAAACAAAATATACAATTAAGAGGAACCTCAACAGAGCTGATGCAAAGTAACTAGGTATCTTTCAAGGACTTACTCCAGAACATGCCGAAGGAAGAGTTTACTGGCAAGCTTTCGACCAAATTCAACAGCCTAGATTGAATACAAAGAATGAAAAAACTTAATAGTACGTCAATTGAGTAAAATGCAACAACCTACATGCCCTAAGTTCAAATGTGTTCATAGTTTCCTCATAGGAAAAGCAGATATCAATTAGTGCAACACACAATGTATCAACTTTCCCACTGAGCAGATTTGAAACATTTCAACTTTGAAAGAGACTACACATCAATATGTCCAAGGGTTCTCTAGGGGCCCAGAGACATAAAGTCAACTTCAAGGAGCGCAAACTAGATGCTTTAAACAAGCTCAGATACATGAGAATTAGTAAAATTGGGGATGGGGTTGTGTGGAGGACTTCAACAAACAAAATGAATACAGAACTGTAAACAATGCTTTGGTCAATGGATTGAATTGCCACAGATCAAATGGAGAAGTTACTAACCTCTTCCCTTTCCAAGTATTGATCTTCGGACAAGAAATCCACAGCCTCTGAACCCAGAAAGCAGTTAGTGAAACGGCGCATCTTATAGAAGCGGTCCTTAACAACTATGTTATCTTTCATTTTCCGAACTATAAGAGCAAGTTCATCAATAGAACCACTACTAGACAGATCATCTTCTCCAGAAAGTGGTGGAAGTGGAGCTTCAAATGATGGTGCCTCAGAGACGACATACTCAATCTTCTCTACCAGCTTCCCAGACTCATCCAAGCTCTTCAGTTCACTCAAACCTCCAATAAGAATTTCGTTAAAAAACACTCTGGGAACATCCGAAGATCCTGCAAGCTTTTCAAGTTCTAACTTTCTGCCAGGATATACATCAACATTGATCTCAACATATCTCAGTCTTTTCCCATGCAGAAAGAGTCTTGCCTCTTTGGAATCCTGACATCTTAACCTTGTATACAGTAAGATGCGCCCTTTCATTGCTAGAGGTTCAATTGCATCTTTTGTGTCATCTTCAAGTTCATCTTTACATTCCACATCAGCCTCACGTGAAATCTTAATTAAGCTAAGAGGATTCCACACAGATCGTTCTGAGCCCTTAGGAGAAGCTTCATGGACTTCACTCTCTCTATTTCCAACCTCCTTACCATCTAAGCTAGAATTATTGTTCTCAGGTTCTCCATCAGGACCATCCAGTCCATCATTACTTTTTCCAGAAAGGCGACGTAGGAAACTAGAGACTGCAACAAGACTTTTCTCCCTAACAAAGTTCTTGACAGCCACTGCTTTCTCAGGCCAAGCATATCCATGGATCCCTGTCTCATTATCCACAGAACTGTCTGATGAACTCCTCACTGATTCCATTGAAGGAATCTCAGTCCCATCAAAGACAGGCTCTGGCTCCTCTTGCTGAGGAGTTCCCTCTAGACCTTTGGCCGTTTCATCTGGATCTACTGCTTCTGCCTTAGATACCTCATGCTCCGTTGCATCAAAAACATTTGAGGTCCTTCCACTCCCTGCTTCAGAAGCTTTTCCATTGATACTTAGTGATTCCAACTCCTTCAATGACTCCAATTTCACATAAGATGGAGAATTAGAATCCTTTTCATCTGAGGAACTATCCTTTTCATGTTTATCCTTCAACACAGGAGATGCCCCCGCTTCATTCTTGTCACTGGAAGAGTCTACATGTTGCCCCAAGGGGGTTTCTTTCTCCTGAGGAATTTGTATAGCGGTTGCCTTTCCCTCTAGCCCTTCAGAAGTAAGACTATCATGCGCGAGCTGTTCCTTAGAAACAGTCTTTTCCTCGTCAACTTCCGTAGAATCAGATGTGTCCCCCATCTTCTTGGGAATCGCCTGTATATTTATTCTTTCGAGCTTCTTTTTTTCTCAAGTACAAGTCTATTTCATTGTATAACCTAATGCTAAAGTGTCAGTCTTCATTAAACTGTCATCAAGTTTGCAGGCAACCACAAAGAAGGTACCAACTATAGCAGCCTGTCCAAAGATTTAAACAGAAAAAAGGTAAGAATGATTATTTCCTTCTGCCTCAAACCCAAATACAAGGTACTGGCCAAAGTAAGAGATTGTTTCTGCCATTCTGAAAAGGTAGGACATTTTGCAATTGAACAGAGAATTTGACAAAGTTTCAAGCAGCAACAATTTAAGATTTCCTATCAAAGAATGTAACAAATTAGATTTTCAAAAGACAAATCCTCCATACAGTCAAGACCCGAGAGAACAAAACTAACTGCAGCTCCAACAGCTGAGTTTATATAGGCACAATGTCAAGATCAAAACTCAAAATGCTCAAAGGATACCCACTGTTCCCATGAAAACTCTGAAAATATCATTTATGTCATGGGAGCCACAGTCCGTCTAGATCCCCAAACATAAAACTAAGGTATCTAAACCTCATAACTGCTCATGATTGAGTTACAATCAACAAGGATCTACACCAGAAAATAAGAAACATTTAAATTATTTAATCAATAAAAACTTTTGATTCAGTTTGTGTCGCTCCTAAAGGGGACAAAACCCTCTAAATGGAAAGGGGAGAAAAAAATAATATATACAATAATGAGCTCACCTTCTGACCCTTAAACCAAAATAAAGCTAATAACCTTTACCATAAACCCCTGGAGCTAATTAGAAACAAACAATACTCGAAAAGGGCCCGAATCATTTCACTTAAAACCCAGCATTTCAAGTCACGTTTAAACGTATATTTGCATATTACAGGGACAAAAAACGCAAGTCTGTAACAAGAAAATAACAAAAAAAGACAGTAATGATCAAGAAAACAACAGAATGGGTGAAAAAAAAGAAGGCCCACTTTGTATTGTTTACATCAATCAACAACAATTTGTGTACAATAATAAACACCTAAATTTTTGCACGTCATTTCTGGCAGAAAGGGGGAAAATGGAAAAAAAGGGGAGACTTACAGATCTGGGAAGAAAAATCAAATTGAAAAGATTGATTGAAGAAGGAGAAATGCAGGTTGTATTTGAACGGTGGCGAATTTGACTAAGGCTTTGACGAAATTTTTCAATTGGAAAACCGCCGAGTCGTCCTCCTCCCTTGTCCGGTGGACGTAAATTAGCTTGTGTAATAATGAGAGAACCGACGCAGGAGGAAGCGGGAACTGGCTTTTACTTTCGTTTTTTGTAAAGCTTGTTTTGCAATCAAACCCTTCTTTTTTATGCCTTTACCCAGAAATAACCCCTCACAAGTCGCAACTTTGTAAAGTCAAACCTTTTTTTTTTCCCTTCTAAAAAAAGTTTAATATCAAAATGATTTCCTTTTTCTATGGGTAGAAAATTGGTGGGAAAAATCCCTCACTTTATAAAGGATATTTTCCCTTTGCTTTCATTTCGTAAAAGTTGAAAAAAAGGTGAAATTGGAAATTAAAAAGGAATGTGGGCTACGTTTTGGCAACTCGATCAATTGTCAAAATCAAAACGTTTTTCATTTACAATATTTTTCCATTGATCGTGTAAATATTTTCTTTGGAGATGATTTATAAATTTTATGCTGGCAAAATTCATTTTAAAAGAACAAAGTATTGAAGTTTAAAGCAATTCTCATCGTCTGATTATCCACAACGGTAGCAAGGACACATGAGGATCATTCACACTAATCTGAAAACATTTTCGAGTTGTAACAAAACCAACTTATATTTGGAGGCAAACAATTAAATTTTAAACTGGTTTAATAAAAAAAAAACAATCTAAAGTTTTGTCTTATAACTTAAGGGCAATGAGATGAAAATTAAAGTACATTTGTGCTAAATATCAAAATGGGTCAACTTCAAAGTTTATGAACAAAGTGTTAGAAAGTATCTAGAGAAGTTACCTAGCGTGTCTTTCACGCTCCAAAACATTCCCAATAATAGCCTCTTTTTTTAATATTTTTAATTTTCAAATTCTCATAACAAAAAATATAAATACCTAATTACCCTATTTTTTTCTCATTTTTTTGCTTTATAACCGCTCAAGCAAGAACGAAATTCTCTCAGCGGCTGCGATCTCGGAATCGACTTTGTGCATCAAAAATCTAGATTTTATAATTGAGTAAATGCAAATTAAAGCGTGGATTACGGTAATAAATCAATTTATTTATATGTTTTTGTGGGTTTCTCTTTGTGGATTTGTTTAAGATCTTCTTTATGGAATTAGTGGGTTTTTATTTGTGGGTTTGTTTCAGATCTTCCTTGATGAATCGTCAGAGGTGATTCAGATTTAGTGAATTGCCAAAAGATTTATGAATTCAGAGGGACAGAGGTAGTTCCTAATAATCTCGTCAACTTTTGTTTTTGTTTTTGGGTTTCATAGATCTAAGCACTGTACATTCAATAATATGATTTTCTTTTTCTTTAATTTGTTTTTGGATCTTAAAATAGGTTTATTCACCAGTTTCAGTGTGATTATTCATCAATCATAATGTGTGATTCGTAATAATGTTGTTGTTATTCATTAATTTGGTTATTCATCCGTTTGTGTATGGTTATTCATCCGTTCTTTGTGGTTATTCATCCGTTATTTATGGTTATTCATCATGTCATTGTTGTTTGGAAATCCGAGTTTTATAATTCTGGGATTTAATGTTGTTGTTGTTCATCAATTTGGTTATTCATCCGTTTATATGGTTATTCATCTGTTGTGTATGGTTATTTATCATGTTATTGATTGAAAATTTTTGTTTTATAATCATGAGTTTTAATCTGTTATTTATCACGTAGAGGGATGGAAAAATCAATTATTTTTTCGAAGAGAAGCACATCGAAAACCTAGATGGGGTAGAGGTATTTCCTAATAATCTCTTCAACTTTTGTTTTTGTTGTCGGGTTTCATAGTTCTAAGCACTGTACATTCAATAATTATCATGTTCTTTTTCTTTAATTTGTTTTTGGATCTTAAAATGGGTTTATTCACCAGTTTCAATGTGATTATTCATCAATCATAGTGTGTGATTCGTAATAATGTTGTTGTTATTCATCAATTTGGTTATTCATCCTTTTGCATATGGTTATTCATCCGTTATGTATGGTTATTAATTATGTTGTTGTTTGTTGGAAATATGGGTTTTATAATTCTGGGTTTTAATGTTGTTGTTGTTCATCAATTTGGTTATTCATCCATTGTGTATGGTTATTCATTTATCGTGTATGACTATTTATCATGTTGTTGGTTGTAAATCTGGGTTTTATAATCCTGAGTTTTAATATTGTTGTTGTTCATCAATTTGTTTCTTCTGTTGTAAAAGGAACCATTATTCATCAGTATCAGTTAACTTATTCATGTATTCATCCTTTGAGTATAAGTGAGCTCATTCATCAGTATCATTGATTGTATGGTTATTCATCAGTATCATTGAGCTAATTCATGTATTCATCCATTATCATTTAATCAATATTTTAGTCAAAAAAGAGTTTTGATGGAATGTAAAATCTCACTTATTGTAATGTTTTCTTTATTTGATTAGCGTCAGAGAAATGTTCATCAAAATGAACTCGATCGGTTGGGAATCAAATATTTGACAGAGTTGCAGAAATTAAACAATCAACATAGATGTATCGAATATCGTCGATTCCTTCAAGACCTTATATGTTAAAACCAATGACTAGTTTTTTTGTGCAGTTTTGGTCTAGTATAATACATAATTAGAAGTTTGTTAGTTTAGTTACTCACATTAACTCATTGTAAAATATACTCTTGTTAGTTTTATTGATAAAAATTATTCATTCTGTTCGCATTATTCATCCAATAATGTTATCTCATTCATTCATCAAAGTACAATTATTCATCTAGCAAAACTATATATATTCTTCATTTTAGTATTGTTATTCATCTAGGATGGGATCATTATTCATCAAGATTTAAATAGAGCGTAATATCTTATCCAGTTGACTTACACAATATTAAAATGATATCCTAATAAAATAAATCGTCATAAAAAAGATTTCTCATAAAATAAAATAATATAAAAACTAACAGGATAAAATAAAATAAAAACAGTTTAAAATTAAATGTATGTGAAAAAAGGAATAAAATTTAGAGCATTAAATGCGCGTGTGGCTGAAATTTAAGGGGAAAGAAAATCCACTTGCATACAAGAAGAGTGTATTACGCTTGTCTACTAGGTACACCTTAGGTGCTCCCAATCATTTGCGGGTGTAAAATATTATTTGTTTACTTAGGCATCCAAATTTTTAAAATTAACATTATCCATTTAATTACATTTTAGAGAATAACAAATCTAGGTGAATATAAAAAGTATATATGGTAATTCAAGACAAATAAACCTATTGGCAATGTATAGATGTGGAGGATTCATATTACCAACAACTGTTATGCTTGAGTTAAGTGAAAAGAAATTTGACGTTCTTTAAGTTAGGCATGACCATGGTTCATAATGGTCGGTTTCGGTTCATGAATCGTCGGGTTCACGGTTCAGGAACCTTAACTGGCCCTTAACTCTACGGTTACAGTTACGGTTCGTGAATCTCCAGTTAAGGTCCAATTCTGGGCCGGTTTCACTTCTGGACCCTTCGGTTTGTTGACGGTTTTAATCCGGTTCTTTTACGATTTAAACCCAATTTTTTATACAATTCTTTTGTGTTGTGTTTTTCAAAAAAAAAAAGGAAAATTTCGTGTTTGGTTTTTAAAGCAACTTATTCAAATCCTCGAAATATGTCTATTTGATGTATGATTGATGGCCTAGTAAAAAAATTTAATACAAATTCTTTTAACTAAATTTAGGACAATTACAGGTATTATCTTGATTTTATTAAATAATAACAAAAATGAATATATTAGGCAATATTTAAAATTTATTCAAAAAGATGAATTATCATGACAAATTTTTCTAACGTCTAATGACAATACATAAACAACAAAACATAAATATTAACAAAAAAATAAAAAATTACATACTTTGAGCACTATAAGAGTAACGACCTAATAATTAACAAATGAAAAAAAAACATATTTAACTCCTAATCAATTAGATCAACTACTTAATTTTAAGTATTTGTGTGTTGAGACTCTATAAATAATATTTAAAACACAAGGGTAATATGGAAAACACAAGGATAGACATCACCAATCTAGTTTGACATATTGTTCCTTCTACTGACCTAGTCTCTCTTTCACATTTCAATAATTTATCTGTTAAACTAAAACAGTACAACAAAGTGAACTAGTATTTTTCAGGGAAAGAGGGATTAGTTTTTTAGTTTTTTTTTTTTTTTTTTTCTATCTATTCCTTTGACAGATGGTGAAAGTTTCAGGCAAAAAGCCAGAGGTTGGAACAATCCTGTAGTCAAATCCCTGGAGTGATCAAAACAAAATAGGTCGGATTAGCGACATCCGGTTCCATCTCTCTCATTTCCAATTTGCAAAATACACGGGAAAGTAAGAAAATAAGGCATTCATTATGTAATAAATACAGTTACAAGAGTTACACCATAAGCTAGTTGGTCTTGTTCTACCTCATTCCCTAGAAACTTTTTAAGTATAATTACATTCTTGATATCAAGCATTCAACCTTGCTGCATTCTTCTTTTCCTAGCTTTTAAATTCTTGTTGACTCAGTCCATGCCAAAGCAGGCCAAAGAGTTCTACTACACGTACGAGCACACACACTCACAAGAAATTATCCTGTACCAACTTTTTCAGCTCTTCTAGTTGTTGGATTATTTTTGGGCTCATCAGATCTCTAGCCTCCCTTATGAGAGTGCCTTCTCTGCTGAAATGATATGCATTAACCACTGTCCCAATCCAGGTGTGCAGATGCTCCGGTGTCCTATATAATGATCGAAAGCACAAAAACTTCAGATCCAAATAAACTATCCAAGGAGGTGATGAATATGAATGAAGAACATCTGTAGTCCTAACAGGGAGTCTAATCAGACAATGTTTTTTGGTAACTACAATGTGATTGCACATAGTATATAAAATTTGAATCAATGAGTTAAACATACATACGTGTAAAGACAGTCGACATCTTTCCCTTCAATTTCGTCTCCAGGAGTGAAGGCGTCCCTCAAGGCACTCATGCGCTCCTCTGGATCTTCAATGGTAAGGAGATATTTAAGTATCCTAATTTCTTTTGGCACAAGTCTCTGAAGATTGCCCCTTGCTGTCATATATAAATGATATAGTACGTCTTTCACCTGAACAATGTGAAAACTTCACCTCCTTAGGTAGCCCTTTTTGGGCAGGGAAAGACACATACAAAATACAATCAAATACTGAGAGGAAACATACATATCAATCACCCTGAAAAATTCCAAAAATTTTGTCACCATAATCTGAAAGCTCAAACGTAGATGAAGCTAAATTTAACACAGCAATGTATACACAGAATCAAAATATGGCTAGGAAAGGCTGGCGATCCATAGATAACCAATCAGGAATTAGAAATGGAATAAGGATTAGAAGATCAGAAAAAGGACCAAAGGAACTGAGTGGTCTTCCGGAAAGTTTGATTTGAAGGCTAAAGGACCAAAGGAACTGGGTGGTCTTCCGGAAAGTTTGATTTGAAAGCGTAGCCCAGGAGTTTATACATAGACACTAAAGATCAAACTCACAAATAGTTTCTGCTAATGAATCAGTTCCACACACCGAACTATTCAGGGGCAAGTTACTGCGTTAAGATTAAACTTTCTTGTCTGACATCGAAGTTTTGCTTGATATCATATCAAACCTTGAGAATATAACAAAGCATCAAACAATAAATAATATCAAAACAGCAAACTAGAACCTCTATTCTAGCTCTGATCTTTAACGGATTATATGGCAGCTAAGATAATGAAAGCTTCCACTGTAGGAAATACCCTGACAAAAGACCTCATATGATTACATAAAAACTAAGTTGACACTGTTGATTTATTCTTGGAGAAAAGGTAGCTTCAAAAGGAACAAATTGAGACCTCGTATGAAACTATGAATGCCATCAACTTGTAATTCTGGTAATTATAGCCCAACAATGTGTATGTCCATTCAATCAAATTGTCCACATGAATTTGATGGAGTAACAATGGTAGATATTAAGAATTTGATGAGTAATCAAACCTCATCTTTTGTCATATCAGATTCTTTTGCAGCTGACCATGCTTTGGTAATCATAAGTACCAGTGCTGAATCAAGTTCGTTCCTCTCTGCTAAACTATCAATCTTCCTGCAAGCAGCATCCACAGAAGGAGAATTGATAATATCTTGGAATTTCAGCTCTGCAGCATTTAGAGCTTCAATACTTTCTGCAGCCGTATCAAAAGTTTCTACGGCCGCCAAGCACATATTCCCAAGCTTAGCCACGGCTGAAGAAAAAAGAAAAACAATGTGAATTGATACTGAAACATAAGTTTCCTTTTCAATATGATAGCACTTATGAGTTATGACATTAATGGAGCAGCCAAGACTACTCTGATGCAGACTATTTTACGGAGAAAAAATATTTATTCAACTAAGACGACTTCTATGAGAATAAAAGAAGAGTAAATAATAAGTAGATAGTCAAAAACCAAGATAAAGGAGAGAGGGCCTCAATCGAACCATTTTGTTCTGCGGGATTATCGTAATAAGATTCTGCCACTGTGTGAAGGTGAACAAAGAATTCCTTCGTAAAATCTTTGCGGCGCTTGGACACAATTTCACTGATATTGGACGGTGATTTGCGGATCACTTGAAGTAGTTCATTATGTCTTTGAACATCTTCATCAATCTAGGCAGAAAAGTTTCACAGTAAATTCACACATAACTTGAAGGCAACAGAAAGATGGGCAACATAAGCACAATGAGCATTATGAAAAAGACACAAAAGTCCATATTGATACATCTGATTACAAAAGTATTATTTAAGAGAAGACCTATCATATAAAACCCATAAAATTAAAATCTATACCATCAACTGCTATAAAAAGCTCATGAGAGAGTGCAAATGTCAAACATCACCAAGGTGAACTCAACAGCAACTAAAAGCAATCAATAGAGTAGAAAAAACAGAAAAAGCATAATAGTTTTAATCATTCATTCGAACAAGCCAATGGCAAAGAACACTTTACCATAGGCTGTTCATCTTGCAATGCACAACAGAATGAACCAAGTACTTCCAACAAATCAGAGCGACTCCACATAGTAGAAAATCAGAAGTACCTCTTTAAGCTTCCGGGAAAATCGGAGTAACTTGTGCTTCATTCCTGGGTCAATCTCCTTATCTGCTCTATCCTGACATTGTTTATAAAAATGAGGCCGGATATTGTCCCATTCTCGGCTAAAAGCTAGCAACCTTCGCCAGTCAGTTGGAGTGGGCTTGTCAACCATGAAGACCCCGATTAGCTTATCACAAACGCGGATCATTTTCTGGTCATCCAGTATTTCAGCAGAATCCTGATTGCCCTCCTCTTCATATGTGTTTTTGGTGGCTTTACAACCAGAGGCATCATCAGATGGTTTACTAGTTGGAAAATGCCCCTTTGAGGAATCAAATGCAATTGAAGCTGTATCACCAATTGCCGCAGCAGGAAAATACTTTTTTAGGCCAACAACAAGTAGTGGAAAATGATAACCTATCATTTAATTAAAATAAAGTCAAGTTGGCGATCAAATCTTAATGCATTCAAGGTCATAAAGACATCTAGATCAATCATCAAGATTTGAAACAAAGAAAAACAAGAGATCAGAAGCTAGATCATCTTTCTCAATTCCACACCAGTTTAGGTACAACGGGAAAGGAATGCATCATTTTCTTCATATGAGAAATTCACAAGTTCAGTGAAGTTCGACTCTTTCTTACATGAGAAACCTAAGGCTTCTAAACAATGCCTTCGGTACCTTGAAAACACACAGAGATACAAGCTTTATACTTTCAAACAAATAAAATTTCAAGTAAAAGTGTGTAATCTCCTGCAATGAGTCCAGAGAACAGGAGTAGTTTCAGTCTACCCTAATCATACTCTTGACAAATCACGCATATTGGTGAAAAGATAATGCTATCTACTCAATCAGTTCTTCTGACGCTCTTCTGGTTCTCAATGATTTACATCATAGTAGACACAATACCTAATGTAATTTTAAAAGAGGCTAATGTGAGACCGTCTCCCATTCTTTGAAGGGACTGGTTTCCCAGTGATTAACACATGAAATTTGACCTAAACCAACCTTTAAGAAATGTTGTGAGAAAGGGAACAGAAGATCAATTAGATAGGCATCTCTTCTAACAATGATTTCCCGAATGAGGAATGTACCTCTGCAGACAACAATCCATCCTCCTAGACAAAAATGGTATTCGACAAATATCTTCAACCTTTCCAATGCACGTTACCACATATAAAACCATCTACGTGGCAAAGAGGGGGCGAACACTGCCACCCAGTAGCTCCTTTCAAAGTGACCACCCCAAGTTTCAGTCACACAACAAAGAGCACCCGACAGTCGAATGAATACTGGCATAAAATCATTGGCCAACAAGACACCTCAAAAGCACGCAAAGGATCAAAATATGAACAGAATCAACAAGTGCCCAACTTAACAGAGCAGAAAATAACACAAGAACGAAAAAGAAACAAAAAGGTTCAATTTCACACGCAGAACTTAAATTACCGTCATCCCTTAATTGGCAACTCAACTTAGATACTTCCAACTCATTTAACTTCACAAAAGAAGAGTATCTGGGATTAATTTGAACAAATACAGAGGAGATACAATTGGAGGTAGTTTAAGTGAATTCTTACCTTGGGAATTTGAAGCATAACGAAGACACTTTGACGATGAATTTCTAAAGGGGGAAAGATATGAAAGTTGTGTTCTTGAGGAGTATGACGGAGCTAATAACACTGAGAAGACAGTAGAGGCGCCAACAGCCGCAGAGCTTGATGCCAATTCCATTGGGGGCTCTTCCTAACTCACACTGCCAAACTTCTCTAGAGTTTTCTTTATTTGCGCCGGAGTTAATTAATTAAATTACAGGATTTTATTATCGGGGAACTGAAGAAATCTGAAACAAATAAGCTGGGCCTATTTGCGCCGGAGTTAATTAATTAAATTACAGGATTTTAAGTTTAATTATTATTATTTCTTTTCATATTTAAGCTGGGCCTATTTGCGCTGAGGGAGGTGTTTTGGGCCAACAACATGTTTCACATTATTGGGGCATCTCCAACCCAAACCTTCTCTAAATCCTATATTTAGAGTTGAAACAGTGAAATCCCACTAATTTTACAGTTTAAACAGTATCAGCATCTCCAATCATTCCCTCTATAATATTCCTCTAAAAGAAATATTCTCAGTATATTCTATTATTTATTTTTTTAATAAAATTAAATTTTTTTATTTGTATTTTATTATATTCTATTACTAAAATAAATTACATTTAAGAAATTTTATAATCATGCATATGATTGATATTTTAAATAATAATTAGTAATATTAATATTTAAATTTAAATTTCATAATTTTAATGTAATTAATTAATAGTAATTTTTTCACCATATATTATGTCAATTAAATAAAATTACAAATAGTAAAATAGGAAAAATATTTGGCTCGATGATAATAATAAAACACCATTACTAATATTAATTTAAAATCATTAAAAAGACATTACAAATACAAGTCGATAATATTGCAAACATTAATTTAACAATAACACACACATGAAAATACAAATGCATATTTTGTGGAGAAAAAAAAAGCATAACAACACTAATTATTACTGTGAGAATATTGTTCCCACATATCCTCAACCAAAGCATCACGAAGTTCAAAGTGTGTCTTCCTGTTTCTAATCCCGAACAACCAACACTCGAGTCTCCACTGTTGTCATCTCTTAATCCTGAACAAAGCTACGATAGTGGTAGTGGAAGTAGACCATTGTCTTGACGCCCGATGGGAGTGAAGAAAACCAAACTGAAGAAGAAAACAGAAAACCATTTGAGTAAGATGTTTAGTACTTTCAATGCAAAAACTGATGCTATGCTTGATTTTATGAAGACACAAGATGAACACCAAAATCATCAACTTGAAATACAAAAATAAAATTTGGAGTACAAAAAAAGAAAAAAGAAAACAACATGTGGACAAAGTGATGATGATGGACTTGAACTCTATTCTGAGTGAATCGGTTCGTTGATATTGGAAAAGAAAGCAGCTCGAAATTATACAAGCAAGGGAATTACAAGAACAACAATTTAAAGGACAATTATCGTCTAACATGGGACAGTTTGGAACACCATCAAACAATGGACAATTTGAATTTCTCAATAATATCGGACATACCGGAGGCAGTTTGAATAATTATTATCGTAGTCATGATAATCAATTTGTGAAACCATCTACTTGCCGTTTGTATTAATGTTTAGTTTCCTAATTGTTGTTTTTATTGTCATAGTGTTTTTATTTGTGAGTTTCAATGATGTATTTCTTTTAATTTCTATTATGTAATTTTAAGTTTGTGGTCAAAATAACGTGTTTGTTTTGATTGGTTGTAGTGTTTCCTTTATGTAATATAGATAATGTAATTTTAATCCATGTTATAATATATCTATACATTCTAGAAATCCAATGATTGTAAATTAGATAAGAAGAAGATAAGGAAGATAATATAAAAATCAATCTAACGGCCAATATTATGACGAAATTTAGAATGACTACTTCGATTTTGATAACTTTTTTTTTCCCAAAATTTTATAAATATGCATCACATTACCAATATTTCTTGCACAAAACATTCAAACGTAGTCTTTTTTAGTCAAAGAAAAATGTCATTTAGTCCAGAAGCAGATGAGCATCCGTGTAAACCTTATATACATATTTCGGAAGATCAAGATGAGACCTTTTGGGAACGAGTATAAGAAACGTATAATGTCTCAAAACCTCCAACTTGGATAAGGTGTTGTAGAAGATCAATACAAGCACGGTGGAGGTCGATTGAAATAGAAGTCCGGGTGTTAATTGCTTGCAAGAAGCAGGTTGAACACTTACATCTCGGTAGTGTCCCACCACTAGATGCGGTTAGTACTTACTAAATTTTTTATATTGTAAATGCTATACATGTAATAGTAAATTAATTTGTAAGCATATATGCGTTAGAATGCAGATGGATCGTGCAGAAGCATTGATGAAGGAGAAGTTCAAATTTAAAAATAGATTCAAGTTTGATCATGGTTAGGACACTCTCAAGGATTTTCGACAATTTCAAATCTAAATGAAGATTATTTTGAATCCACAAAGAATTTTAAATAATTTATGAACGGTTGACTTTATCAACCGAATTTATTGTTATTGTCTTTTTGGTATTTGGCTTTGTGAGTTTAAATGATGTACTTTATTTTTTTTCTTTTATTGTATAATTTAAGTTTATAAATAATCAAAACAATGCATTTGTTTTGATTATTTATAGTTTTTTTTATGTGATTTTATTAATAATAATATGTGTGTTTATGGTTTTATAGTAAATCGACATAGTTTCTTAGTCCTTGTTAAAATACAAATACATATATTTACTATTATGACGTAAATTCACTCATTAAAATTATAATTATGATTATTAATATTTAGTTCTACAGCTTAATAATAATTAAGAATGAAATAGATATGTAATTAAATTATAATAATTAAATTAATTAAGATCTGTTTTTTTTACATACTGCGCATGGTGTCCTAAGTGCATTGCACTCAGACTAATCCGCACTGAGTCGGGTCGGTCTCCTTTCAGAGGGAAAGCTCTCCCAACATTGCTTTTTCCATTCATGAAACTCGAACTCGAGACCTCACTTATGGGAACCAAAGCACCTTACCACTTTAACCAAGTGTATTAAAAAAAGTTAATATAAACAGTCCAAAATAAAACAAAATTGGCCCAAGTAAATGAAAAGCCCAAACACATCTTCTAATTTGGCCCAAATTTTAATTAAAAAAAATCAAAAAAAAGGGAAGGTTCGCTCGCTTTAGTGGGTGAACAGTTTCCTTCAAAAATGAAGAAATAGCAGCCTGTTTAAAGGAGCGGGGTTGAGCGGAGCGGCCTGCGTTGGAGAGTCCGCTCCGCCAAATCTAACACATCCGTCTAGTTTCGCAAACGCGCTGGAGATGCCCCTAAGTTTCATCTTCCACTTCAGAAATGGAAGAAACTACATAATCAACTATGAAGATAACTTAGAACAAAAACAAAAACAAATTGAGAAGAAAATCGAAAAATAATTTCAAGAATTATAATTTACCGGAAGTCTGACAATTCACTCAGTTACACGGATTTAGGATTTATTATAGGGTTACTAGTCAATGAGAGGAAGAAAAACAATCTAAAATAACTCAAATAGTTACACAGATTTAGGATTTGTTAAAGGTTAAGTTGGAACCAGATTCCCAAAAAAAAAATTGGAACCAGACTCGAGTCTTGCGAGATTTGTGAATTCTTTGAGTAGTGCATTGACACTTCAAAGTCAACATTTTTTATATAGATGTTACCGAGTAACAGAATAGATAACGAAAAAGAAATATACAACAGAGTAAAGACGACAACACTCAACAGAAGCTTTGAAGTGAGTTTCTAAGTATATATACTTTTGAGTTTTGAAGATGTTGCTTAAAATTTTCTCCAAAACCTCAAAACTATGAAAGCCAACTGCCATGACAATTTCTACCTTGTAAGGCAGACAAGAATTGCACGAGGGCCAACTCCAACTCATTCCGGTTTTCATCATCATCCTCGTCGTCATCGGCTTCCTCATTTCGAACTCTGTTATGCTCTGCTACAATCTGTTTAGGCAACAAAACATGCCTGCAAAGAGGACATGTTCTTGCCGCTTCTTGATTCCCATGATGCAACCATTTTTCTATACAATCTCCGTGAAATTTATGCTTGCACTGGTTAATCTCTCGACCCTCTTCTCCTTCCTCAAAATCGGATAAACAAATCGCGCAGAAAACCGATGATTCCGTCCTCAACTTCGATGATCCCCTGTAAACAAACTTGGAGCTCTGCTTGTTGATCAATGCTGTGAAGTTGTATTTGACTCTTGCCCGTTTGTATGCGATCCATAAAATGTGTACTGTCAAGATTGCTAACCTTAAAGCTCGTGGAAGAGTTACAGAGAAGAATTTTGTGGTTTGTTGGTGGAATTGGGAACATAGGTTAGTTAATGTGCCCATTGTCTTTTCAGCACTAAAATTGATGGAAATAAAGTTTAAGACTTTAGAATCATCAGGCTAAATAGGGAGTGAGATACTATACGAGAAGAATGTTTGGGGGGTTGTGTGAAGTTGGTGGCAGTTAGTTTCCTAGAAAGTCAGGTGTGTGCCAAACTTGAGTGTTTGGTGCGATTGAGGTGGTCTTTACTCTAATGGTAGTTTAACGAAGTTTGTTCATCTAATGTTTAAGTTATTACCAAATCCAAATTTTACTTCTGTCCAATTGCTCAAGTCAATGGCTCATGCTCAGACAAGGGTAGCTGAAAAGTAGATTAAATTCGATTATTTTAAAAATATTCTTTTAATTCTTTCCTTTCTTTTGATACTTTTTTATTCTAGTTTTTCGCACTTTGGTGCATTTCTAGTAACATATATTTTTTTTTAGATTTTGTTTAAAATATAAATATGACTTATAATAAGAAAAAAATAGCTAAAATAAAAAAAAAATATGTACATTAAAAAATACGAGTGTATTTTTATTAGAACCGGATACACTTTTCGTCCCCCAACTTTTGAACGTAACAAGATCGAGTCACCATGAATTTGCAATTACCAAAAACAGTCTCCTAAAATAATTTTTTCGTCAATTTTGATCAATTTAACAGAATTTTCAAAAAGTTAACCGGTCAAACGTTAATGCTTTATTTTTAATAGTTTTTTACTGATTTTGGGGCCCACTCCTTTGACCCAACAAAAAAAATATTTTTTTCTTGTTCATTTATTTTATTAAACATTTAATTTTATTAATTTTTTTTATTTATCTCGAAAGCTCATCGGCGGCTGCTGTTCAGTTAGTGGGGAATCCGTGGGAGGTGGGCGGAAGGG